ATATATATATATATATATATGTATTTATATGTATATATATATATATATATATATATATATATATATATATATATATATATTTTTTTGTTTTTGTGTGTGTGTGTGTGAGACTGTCTGTCTCTCTCTTTCTGTATATATATATATATATATATATATATATATATATATATATATATATATATATATATTTTTTTTTTATATATATATATATATATATATATATATATATATATATATATATATATATATTTTTTTTTTTTTTTTTTATATATATATATATATATATATATATATATATATATATATATATATATATATATATATATATATATATATATATATATATATATATATATATATATAAATAAATGCATTTAAAATAATTAAATATTAAATGTAAAATATATACAGAACTGTTTTTTTAAATGCACCGAACTATATTAAGATATGAACCTTTTAAATAGATAAAGAATAATTTTTAAAGGGTTGTTTTTATATATATAAACTTCATTAATGTTAGAAAATCAAGGTTTGTTGAAAAAACTGATTTTCAGCCACAACAAATTTAAAAAAAACATTTATTTTGTAATCCAAATGACAATATATATTTTTTTACGTTCTTGTAGAATAAAACAAATATTAACATTTAGCTTAAAAACAAACATTGATTTAAGTGTGTGTAGGCATGGGACGATAACCGGTTTTAAGGTGAAATACAAGCCTACACATAAACACTGAAATGGTTTTGCTATTTTGGCGAAAACTTAATTTATTTCATGGCAAGGTTGATATTTGCGTGGAATTGCTCATATATACATCAGAGTATCTGCGGAGTCTTAAATCTAGAAAGCTAAATTTTAGGACTTAAAAAGTCTTAAATCTATGGAAATGTTGTGTAGTAGGTCTTAAATCAAACTTAAATCTTTAAGCTATGTTTTGTTCTGTGCTTGGTAAGGGTTATAGGGTTTGTGAATGGATATATTTGAAAAACTAAATTATTGTTATTAATTAATTTATACTTTTTTTTGTATAATTATTTTTTTAGGGGTTTTCATCTTTATTGGGATAGGACAGTGGAGATTTTACAGACAGGAAAGTGTGGAGAGCAGAGATAGGGGAAGGACTGGCAAAGGTCCTCGAGCCAGGGAATCGAACTTGGATCGTCGTAAGCGCCTTGGTGCTGTGTTGACGCGCTATCCACTTAAGGCTGATTTATACTTCTGCATCAAGTTCACGCGTATGCTACGGCGCAGCCTGCGCGTGTACGCATAGCCCTCGCTGTGGCCGTTGGCGTCGGCGCTGATGTGCACCACTCAAAAAATGTAACTACACATCGCAACGACGTGTAGCGCAAGCTCTGTGATTGGTCTGCTCGGAAGCGCTGATGAACATAAACAGCGCAAAAGTATGAGTGCACAGCTACGCGCGTTGCATGCGCTGTGGGTCACACCGATCACTCGGCGCAGAAGCATAAACTTGGCTCCAGGCTATTGGCCTAGAAAAATCTTTTCTAACTGGAATATTTAAAAAAAATCCTTAGCATTTAGCCCTGTAAAAGTCTAAAATGTCATTCATAATGGTCTTAAAAATGTCTTAAGTCTTACATTTAACTTAGTAAAATCTGATATATATATATATATATATATATATATATGTATGTATGTATGTATGTATGTGTGTGTGCGTGTGCGTGCCTGTGTGTGTGCGCTAAATATATATAGCACACAAACACACATTATGTCAAAACAAACTTATTTTGGATGTGATTAATGGCTAATACACACGTTTTGACATAATATATGTGTGTGTGTGTGTGTTATACATGTATTAATTAAGGCTGGTATAATACAAAATATGCTTTTAGAGAACTACTTTAATTAAAATGGCCAATATTCACTCAAAAAAGGATTTCTGCTGCTTGTTCAAACTAATTAGTAAACCTTAGCTGAAACAACACAATTCTTGAGTTTTTTTGAGGCAACTTAATAGTTTTAAGTTCAATCCACTTAAATTTGTAAAAGAAATTAAGTTTTAACTATCTCTTTGTGTTGGGGCGACATGAAGGAATTTTGTGGAACCCTGTTTTTTTTTTTTTTTTTTTTTTTTTTAATAATCTAAATTATGTAAATATGATTCTTAATGTCAGCATTGTCACTGAAGCCCTGTATTGTTCTGTTTTTCAGAATGAAGAGCAGCATCTGATCATCACACTGCATTTCCACTTATAATACTTTTCAAACATAGACATTTAGTGCAGAAATATCTGTGCTGCGACATTAATTTACCCTCAGAGCATTTTATAATTCCTTTAGCAGTATGACTCTTGTGTCATATTTTATCTACTAGACACAATAACCTTCTTTGAGGCTCTGATTTTATATTCTCCTGCTGAGGATCTTCGATGGAGAACCGTCAGTGCAGTGTTATGTGAGTGGAGCGGCTGTTTTTTATCTGTTGCAGTTTTCCGACACATTTTTATATGTGGGATGTCAAAATGTCGTGTGGAGTTCAGCCGTGTTTTCAGCTGTTGAGGATTGGCTTGTCTAATAGCAATAGCAACAGCAGCAATGGGAATGAATCCGCAGACCCCGTGCGGGACCTGTACACGTTTCGTCCCGCACTGACGCAGTGTGTGTTTCGACTGGGACGAGCCCCAGAGCTGTGTGACGTCACTCTGGAGTCGGTAATCGTGTCCCGGATCCACGCTGAGCTCCATGTGGAGAGAGAAACCGACGCATCTGGAGAAGAAGGATGGAAGGTTCTGGTGAAGGACCGCAGCAGCTATGGTGGGTTCACTATAAACTTTTGTTATAAATTTACTCACTACTTGTCAAACGTTTGAATATGTTCAACCTGATGACAGCTATTTACCTTAATATTGTTATTACTATTTTATTAATATTAATATATTATTATTTCAAAACATTACTGATTTTAATGCAGTTTTAGGTCATTTTTTTTACCTAATTAAACTAATTCATTGCTCTTTCTTTCTCTCTGACTTTAAAATTCAATTAAAAATGCAAGTTATTTCATTAAATGTTGGTTTCTTAAAGGGACAGTTTACCCAGAAATAAACATTTACTCACTTTAAAGTGTTTCCAAACTTTTATGAGTTTCTTTTTTTCTGTTGAACACAAAAGGAGATGTTTTGAAGAATGTTGGAAACCTGTAACTAATAACATCAATAGTAGGAAAAACAAATATGAAAGTCAATGGTTACCGGTTTTAAAAATTCTTTAAAATAATTCCTTTTGTGTTCAACAGAAACTAAAAGTAAAGGGTGAGTAAATGATGACAGAATTTTTATTTGTGGGTGAATTATCCCTTTAAAGGTGCCCTATAATGAAAATCTGGGTATACCACGCCATAGTTATTGTTATTATTATTATTATTATTATTATTATTATTATAACCTTTATTTTACTAGGAAAGACACATTGTGATTAAAAATCGTATTTACAAGAGCGTCCTGGCCAAGATTAGGCAGTATACATGTCACATGGGTCTAACAAACAACAAACAATTGACAGTTAACATGAATCACACATCGACAGACAAACTATTTAAACCCTCTACCAGCCTGTTTCAATTTCTAAATCATTTAAACTCTTTTTAAAAGCATTTAGTGAAATCAATTCTTTAAACTGCCACTTTGTAGATTATTCCATGCAAAAGGTGATGCATATTTAAAAGCCTTTTTTTCCCCATCTCCCTCCGCACTTTTAGGAACAGACAATAAATAAATATGCTGTGATCAAAGGCTATATTTAAGAACAGGCTTTTGACAAATGTAATACTGTAGATATGATGGGAGTACACCCAGTATAGATTTGTAAACGAGGATATGCTAATGCTTGAGTCTACGAATGGACAAAGTAGACCAACCTACCCTAGTGTACAGCACCCAATGATGAGGAAGAGATTTAAAATTAGTAATAAATCTTAGGGCACCATGGTAAACAGTTTACGAATTTAGCAGTATTTTCAAAAAGAGCCTGTTCACTCATACAGACCTTTCTGGAAAATTGCCAGTAATTTTCCGGAAAGGTCTGTATATGTGAAAGGGGCTAATGTGTTTCTGCAGACAAATTACAGAAACAATTACTATTAGAAGCTGGTTATGTTCACTTAATGTTGCCACACAACTGTGTTTAAACCCCTTATAAAGGTGATTTTTGCATAATAGGTCCCCTTTAAATTGTGAACAAAATTCACAACATTACTGTTTTTGGTGTGTTAGATTAAATAGCTCTTAATTTTTTTGTGTACACACAACTATTATAAACAATATATAAACTAATATAATTTACTTTTAATATGAATAAAATTACTGTTTAAATTGTTTCAGAAAATTTAACTTAATATTATAATATAACTTATACTATTAAATTTAACTTTAATATAATATTAACTTCATATGCAACCCATTTAATAGTATTTTTATGTGAACATTACTGTGGAGAGGAAAGCATGATTGACTACCCAATGAGAGAGGAGAGCATGCCCACGCCCCATTCACACGGGGGTTTAACGCTTTACTGAAGGCTTGTCTGAAGTTGGGGCTAACGCGGTCGTCATAGCAGCGTCAGCCAATGAAATTCAGTCAGCAAAAGGCCACTGTCTAGCTGGTGTATTTGCAAATAGCGATCTGATTGGCTGAAGCTTCTTGAAAAGTTGAGCTTGTCCCAACTTCTGCAGCGAGCAACGCCTCTGTAGCGACTCTGTAGCAACGCCTGATGTCACCCATTCAAAGGGAATGGGAATCGTTGACGCTGATGCCTTGTGTGAATGGGGCGTCAGAGCCCGGCGGCTAATCAGCTGGCCAATCAGAAATAATAAATAACATCTGTTTATTTTAGTGAATGGGCCAGAGAGACACCATTCTTAAGGAGAACAGAAGCACCCGGGAGAGGGGAGAGAACAAACACACACAAACACACACACACACACACACACACACACACAATCGCTCGGTGTGTTATTATTAAAGAAATAAAAGATAATTACTTACCTTAATCACCGACCCTGTCTTCTTTCCACAACAAGAACGAACGTTACTACAGTTACCTACAGAGTTGCATTCTGCACTCCAAAAAAATGTATTTGTGATTTGTTCAAACTACTTATTTAAAATGAGTTGAAATAACAATCTTTGAGCTTTTTGGGGGGACGACTTAATTGTTCTATGTTCAATACACCTAAATTTGTGAAAACTACTAAGCTACCATAATTCCTTCATTCGATCGTGTGGAACCCAACATTTTTTACAGTGTGGGACTAGTGTATATGATTTTATTATGAACCCTTAAACACAATGTTCTATAATCATTTCTCCGCAGGCACCTGGGTGAATGACATGCGTCTCCAGCAAGGAGTCCTTAAGGAAATCTTTGACGGCGATACCCTCACCATCGGTGGCCAATCAGGACGGGCCAGTCCAGAATTCTACTTCCTCTTCCAGAAAGTGCGCGTTCGCCCGCTGGACTTTGATGCCATCACCGTACCCAAAGCTGGATCTTTCTCCTCTGACATTAAAAACCGAATCCGAACGTCTTTAGACCGCAAACCAGACCCAAATTTGGACATTTCCAAACTGTCCATCAACAGATCCACGGTGATCCTCAACTCCATCGGCAGCTTGAGCAAGATGAACGGCAGCTGCTGGACATTCAAGAAAAGCGATAAAAACACTGCTTTAAATGTGCCAGCGTTCACAGCATTGGCCCCGCCCACAACCCCGCCCCCTTTTCAAGCCGCTGGCGAGATTTCCTCTAAATCTGTGCCTCCATCCTCAAAGAGCCGACGCAAATCAGCACACACGGTCCTGCTGGAGGACGACAGTTCCGATGATCCTGCAAACCGCATGGAGGACGGAAGAAGAGGACAGGCCAAGAAAAGACGACGGCTTTATAAATCCGAATCAGAGGTGTTTCAGCATCCTCTGCCCAAACTGGAGCCACAGTTTGAAGTGGTCAGTCCCTCCGGCAGTGTCTTCAATGTGGCACCGAACCGGCAGTTCAGCCACATTATGAACATCAGTCACAGTAAAGGTAATGGCATCAGTGTGACTCCGCTCCGCCAGCAGCAGAAGGCCTGTCTGTCTGGACCCGGACGAAGAGCGAGGGCCAACAGCTCCCCCATTTACACTGGCATGGGGATCGGAAGCCAGAATTACAGCCTGACCTCGCCGTCAAATAGGGTGAGCAAGACGGAGAAGGCCAGAGGGGTGATATCACGCTTTCAGGCCTCTACTGGGTGAGTTATGTTAGATCATTGAGCAAAGGAAAGTCATTCGTACATGCGATTAGTAATATAGTTGCCATAATTAAACACAGACATACAGTATAAATGAATTGGAAGAACTAAATTGGCGGTAGTGAATGAATGTGTGTGTGAAAGAGAGTGTGTAAGGGTGTTTACTAGTACTGTACTGCGTAAAACATATGCTGGAATAGTTGGCAGCTCATTCCGCTGTGGCCAACTCTAATAAATCAGGCACTAGGCTGAAGGAAAATTAACGAAACATTTTACAAGTCACCCAGAGTTAAATAGTTGATTGATATTAGCTGTTACGGCCCAAACTCAAAACTGGCTCGAATAACAAAAACATTCAAGGTTTGAGCCGAACATATGAAAGACACAGACGTTTGATTTGTTAAATTGACGTTCCGTCAATACGTTTAATTTTCCATAAATCATAAGTTTTCAAAAGAGACAAAACATTAACAAAAATCAAGTAGACAGGTAGGGCAGCTAAGGTAAACAGGTCTCTAACTATACTGTTTTAAATGGACAGAGCTTACCTAAACTACCGTGAAAGGAATAAAAATAGGTGAGTCTTGCGGGCCACTGCTTACCTTGCTAAACTAAATAAATAACAAAACGTGACTATGAAAAATAAACCCCTACCTGCTTCAAAACAAAGAATCAAAATAAACAAACTAGTTAACACATTACGAACTAAGAGTCAAAAGATTAAAAGGAACAAAACATTAAATGAAGCGGCATCTAGATGGATGATCCCTTGGCTTGCGGAGCACCGCCAGCCAGACCGCCTGAGCGCAAGCCACCACCGAGGTGAGGGAGGGCGAGAGACTGCAAGACAGACAGAGAGAGAGACGCCATTGCTGTCAGCCTTTTATACTGGGAATCCCCAGTGACGTCACGGGCGTCATCCAATCCTTGATAAGCCGGGTAGAAACACTCCTTCTAGAACTCGATCGCAACAAGCGCAAACTGGCAATAAATAAATAGATTAATTAAATTACACAGACCCACCTAACATTAGCATTATTACATAATGTATTGGAGAATATCATTGTGCCCGCGCCAGCCATGGTATGGCAGCAAAGCTCCTTGATTATTAAAAATGCCATATCATTTTAGGCTGAAAATATATAAAAATAAAATAAAAATGTCACTACAAAATCCTAGAGGTGCTGCTTAAAATATGTGAGAATTTGTTATTTTCTGGACTTAAAAAAGGGGAAAAAGTAAATATTAAATATATAGACAATATTAGTAATTACTTTTTACTAATTAAATGCATGTATTAGATTAATAATGCGTTCATTTTTGTTAAATCAGGGAATTTATGTTATTACACTATTATTAATTAAATTGTCTAAATAATTGAAAACACACTATGTAACAAATGTGGGTCCTACTTTATATTAAGTGGCCTTAACTAATAAATGCTGAGACTAAAATTGCTCATTTGTTACAATGTACTTATTGCGTAAATATATTTTTACACTGTACTCATGATTGATTAAATACCTGCACGTCATTTCATCTGTAATTAATTTCTGTAAATACACTGTTGATCATCCTTTATGTCTTAACCCATCTCTAAACCCACCATATGGTACCACCACCAAACCTGTCCCTAACTCAGTTGTCAAACTGAGTTCCAAAAGGGCCGCAGCTCTGCACAGGTTAGTTCCAACCCTAATTAATTACACCTGATCAAACTAATTGAGTCCTTCAGGCTTGTTTGAAACCTACAGGTAAGTGTGTTGGAGCAGGGTTGGAACTAAACTGTGCAGGGCTTTGGCCCTCTAGTAATTGAGTTTGACACCCCTGCCCTAACTGTATCCCACCTCAAGAGCACCAGAAGTGTTCTGCAATACATTATGATCACAGTAGTACACTGCGTTTATCTTTGGATGTAAGTACCTAGTAGTTAAGGCCACTTAATATAAAGTAGAACCAGTTATATTTGTATGTATTCGTTGCATTTAATAATGTACCATTTTACAATTTTTCCCTGAAGGCGACGGCGTGGACGGCCCAGGAAACACCCTCTCCCGCAGCCCTCCCTGCCGTCTCCCTCATTCTCCTCTTCCACCAGCTCCTCCTCTTCCTCCAGCTCCTCCTCCTCCTCTTCATCGTCTGAGGATGATGATGAAGTGGTCGTGGCTCAGGGTGTTGAACCGTGCGCAGCGCTGCATTGCCGTCTCCCTCAGCAGGACACTGTGCAGTGGATCCAGTGCGACGACTGCGACGCCTGGTACCACCTGGACTGCCTGCCGCACAAACATAACCGAGACTCGCTGCTGTTCGACCCCAGCGCAGACTTCCACTGCGGCTGCCATCGCTGAGCTCCACAACAAACCAAACACACTCAAACCTCCATGATGATGATGATGATATTAATATTACAATCAAATCCATCAAGTAGTAGATCGCTAGAATGAGTCTGCGCTTTCTGCTGTGGTGCTTATTGTGTCTGATTTGAACACTGAGTTGGATTTAAATGCGGTTGTGTTTGATTCAAAATAACCAGCATCCCATTATAACTCAACATCGGATGCTTTTCAACAGGTCGTGATCGATATACATGTTTGATATATATAAAAACGCAAGGATGAATTCTCTAAACAGCCTAAAAATAAGAGTATAATTGTTTGGTTTGAAGAGTATTTTGTATTTACAGAGGTTTGGATATGATTTGAGATCTTATGATCTTTGGATCAAGTATCGAGAGCTTGGAGGAGTTTTCTTAAAGGCATAGTTCATCTTTTTGAGGATTTATCTGTTGTTATTTTACTCTTCTACTTGATATCGAAGATGTAGGTGAATTTTGGTAGATTTAGCTGGAAATGTGGTCCTTGGGGGTACCCACTATGAGCACTTTTAGAGTATGAATCAAACAAAGAGGCTGAGCCAAAAATGACCATGACTTTTGACTATACACTAGTGCCGTCACGATACTGGAATTCGATACGAATCAGTACTGACAATTTATAAAACGTCCATATTCCACGAACATTTGAACGCGTTCTTAAACAGCACTGATTTGTCATTGTGTTCATGTGCTCAACAGAAATGGCTGTGATTGGCCGTGAAGGTCATCAGTTCACCAAACTCACCACTGTTTACCGAGTGTAGCTACAGATACAGACTTTGGAGTGTTTTAAAGTCGCAAATATCAGCTGGTCTGTCTATAAGCTGACATATGAGCGGTCCACTAATGAACTGACTGATCTTCACAGCTTTAGAGCTTTCCAGTGCCCCTGTATCTGTTGTTATACTCGGTAATCAGCTGTAAGTTCGGTGAATTGATGACCTTTACGGTCAATCACAGTCATTTCTGTTGAGCATGTTAACACATTGGCAAATAAGCGCTGTTTAAGAACGCGCTCAAATGTTAGCGAGATGTAGACGTTTTTTAAATTGTGTACGGAATTGGTATCGAATTCCAGTATCATGACAACCCTACGATACACTGAGATTTAATAAAGCAGGGGGGGGTCCAAACTCGATCCTGGAAGGCTGGTTTCCTGCATAGTTTAGCTCTAACTTCCTTTAACGCACCTCCCTGGAAGTTTCTATTATACCTAGAAAGAGCTTGATTAGCGTGTTCAGGTGTGTTTAATTGGGGTTGGAACTAAAATATGCAGAATACCGGCCCATAAAGACTGAGTTTGGACACCCCTGTAATAAAGCGAAATGATGTCTGTGCAAGATAACAATCAACATCATTACCTTTAAAATGTTAGTTTACTCAAAAATGCTAATTATGTTATTAATTACTCGCCCTCATAACATTCCAATCCCCTAATATATCTTCATTTGTCTTCAGAGCACAAATGAAGATATTTTAGATCAGTGTTTCTCAACCACGTTCCTGGAGGACCACCAGCTCTGCACGGTTTCCATGTCTCTTTAATTAAACACACCTGATTCAGATCATCAGCTTGTTAGCAGAGACTGAAAGATCTCTAATGGGTGTGACAGATTGAGGAGACATCCATACAAAACATGCAGTGCTCCTCCAGGAACGTGGTTGAGAAACGCTGCTTTAGATTAAATCTGAGAGCTCTCTCATCCTCCCATCAATCAAGAAAAATACCAAAAGCATCCTCAAAATAGACCAAATGCTTTCAGTGGCGTATTCTGAAGCTATTAGACGATACTTTTGTGCGCGCATACTGTAAAACAGAAATACTTTATTCAATTTCTACTCCTCAGTGTCAGTATAGGGCGCACGTTCACAAAAGGGCTGTGTTCTTTATATGTCTCATGTTCAGTCATGTATTATTTCGTAGGAAGCTTGCTTTGGAAGTCATGTGCAGAGGCCCGGGCGGTATACATCACTGCACACTGCTCATTAATGTGCGCAATATACTGACACTGAGGAGAAGAATCGGTTGAATAAACTATAACTTTTGTTTTATGTGCGCACAAAAGTATTCTCGTAGCTTCATAATATTATGACTGAACCACTGGAGGTATATGTTTTCATCTCGGGTCTGTCTATGGAGGATGAGGGAGCTCTCTGATTTAATCTAAAATGTCTTTATTTGTGTTGCAAAGATGATCGAACGCCTCTGGATGGGCTTTGGAACAACATGAGGTTGAGTAATTCACAAAATTAGAATTTTTGGGTGAACTAACCCTTTAATTCAACAGCCTGATTGTATTTAAAACAGTTTTTGCAGTTGTATGAATCCCCAAGGACCAGTTACAGCTAAAAATGATCTTTAATTTTCTGCTGGTTTCCTACATTTTGGATGGTCTAAGGTGGAGGGAATTAACAGCAAATGTTCATTTTTATGGGGGGTGAACTATCTCTTTACCGCTTGTCAAACATGCTTCACCAATATAATGACTGCTATGTATGTATGAATAATATGTTATCATTAAATACTGTATGGGAGGTTTTAAATGGGTAATGAGGATAAACTTTTACTCTATGGGTTCTGTAAGCAATACTTAATGTTTTTATTTTTATATCTCCACTTCTTCAGAACATTTAATTACAACTCGAGCTAAAATCAAAGAAGCTTAGATTAAGAAGTATGATGTTTCCTTTATAATCCTGAATTTTGATGCTCAAACAGGTTTTTCTGTGTAATTTCATGCTCGCACATGTATTTTTGCTGGTAATAGCACAGCTCTTTTTAGATCTGGACTAACCCTGTGTAGATGTATCTGTGTGTATGACTGCAGTTTCTGTTTTATGAATGTTAAAAGATCTTCAACTCTCTTCACTTTAACTCAACATTCTAGAAATGACAGATGACTCTTGTCACCAGAGCTTGTCTTGTTGGGAATCAAGGGCTGAATAAAGAATTCTATATTTAAAATATGATCTGTCAGCTGTGTGTATTCAGTGGGAAGCTGATAGTTACTTTTGCACACGTTTGACAAATAGTGACATCTTTATATAAACGCAATATGTAACTGTCTGTATATATAGATATGTAATATTATTGCACAAAGATAACATGTGAAGAATATATATATATATATATAGTAGGTTTTTTATCTTCATGTATTTGTTCAAATCATATATTTGAAAGTGAACTATGTAAAGGTGTGTGAGTTTATTACTTCAGCACACTTGGCTGTACTTTTCAAGTAAAGCTAAACTTGATTTAATTCCAACTCTAATTAAAATCTCCCGAATTAATGAATCAATTCAGGATATTTAATTCTTCAGTAATGTTTCTCTCCTGGACCTGAATAAGTTCTTTTATAATGCATTATTTATAAAACAGAAAGATACATATTTTTTATGCTAGTTGGTGCTTTATTCACAATTAAGCAGGTTTATGAGAATGCCACACAATATGCCAAAACTTAGCAACAATCAATATGATGTCTCCCGTGAATTTTGTATTTCAATATTTGAATTATAGTGTTAATAAAGCTTTAAAATCTTTTTTTTAATGAGGCGAAAAGCTTATAATTTTAAAAGCTTTATTTTCGATGTGTGTGAAGAAGTATATTACATTAAAAAATAACTGACAATGCATGAGAACCCTGCTGAAAAATCCAGCTTAAACCAGCCTAGGCTGTTTGGCTGGTTTTAGCTAGTTGGCCAGCCTGGTTTTAGAGGGGTTTTGGCCATTTCCAGGCTGGTTTCCAGCCATTTCCAGCTTGGTCTTAGAGGGTCAGGCTGAAAAAAGACCAGCTAAATTCAGCAAAAACCAGCTTAACCAGCCTGGTATAAACTGGACATAGCTGGTTTTGGCTGGGCTCCCAGCCTGGCTAGGTTGGTCAAGCTGGTTTTAGCTGGTCATCTTCCAGCCTGCCCAGCTAAGACCAGGCTGGAAATGGCCCCTCGGAAACCAGCCTGGTCGACCAGCTAAAACCAGCCAACCAGCCTAGGCTAATTTAAGCAGTTTTTTTTGTAGGGAATACCTACATGGAATGCTCTGTCACACGAAATATGTTAAATCTACGAGCTGTTTTTAGAACAAAGCTAACAATTGTTTTTTTTTTTGTCACCATAAAACAAGAATGTTTTTAAAACCTTATTATTAGGTTCCCAACTTCCCAAAATAACCGGTCTGCAGCCAGAGGAATGTTAGGGGAACATTCTGTTTGCTGTGAAACTATTTTCCCAATTGAAGGATATATTTAATTCAATAACTTGTTTTAACAAATTGGTTTTATTATTTATAGCGTTTGGTAACCGTTTTACAAAATACATTTTATTCAAGGGTTTAAAGACGTGATTGGTTAGTAGCTGAATACTGCAAAAACCACAGCAGCATAAACAATGAGTTTAATCTCGAAACTACCATATTATATCATGTATTTCAGGCCTGTGGGGTAAAAACAAACACACAAGCGATCCCTGCTGGCGTTTTGTTACCTCAGTCTTCTTTAATATCTAGACCACACCCATCCAACGTCAAGTGCAGGAGACGTACTGATGACCTGCACACCTGTGAGCTCACGGTTTCTGAAGCAAAGCGAGCAGTTTTCTGCTTCAGGTATGGTTTTGTGTACAGTTAACATTGTTTTTGAGGCGAATTTGCGCTCTAAACAGCTTTGGTTAATCTACAAGTAATGCATTTTGACATGCTGACAGAAAAGCAGATTCAATTCTAATTTTGTAGTAAAGTCGTTAATTGTCCTAAATTTGTGTTTTTTTACGGACCAATGTTCTAGGACTTTTAAGATTGACTCATTGACGTGTTAAAAGTTACAAAACTTCCATATTCTGTAAAACAGTATTGCTTTCAGTCAACTCTTTTTCTATTACATTTAGAGCGTGTTTTTTTCTCAAGATTTCTGTAAAGCACCAACCAGACATGAGCAAAACTGATGAATCCACTGCATTTGCAAATATGAGAAATTCCAAAGTTTAACACTTAAAGCAGCAAAACATGTATGACAACTGTTTTACAAAGAAATATTAAACAAAAAATGTTAATATTATGCAATTAAGTTATGCACTTCATGTAAAAATTAATTTATTTTTTCTCAAAGGTAGCTGCATTAGCATTTTAGCACTTTATTTACTAATTATTTCTACAATTAAACAAATTATTTTTGACATTAAATTACACAAATAGTACTGAGTGTTTGCATATTTTTAAATGAAATTTGCAAACAGGTTTTTGTACTAAAAATGGTTTATTTGGACACATTTCTCTATAATTTCTAAAATACAGGGTTAAATTTCAATGTTCAAGACATTTCAACCTTTAAGTTATCATGAAATCAAAATGGAGATTGTTTATTTTGCTACATTGTTCTAGTCTTAAAGTGAATAGCTACCCTGTGCAATTAATTAATCATTCATTTATTTATTTTTTTTTCGCTTTATTCCCTTTATTCATCAGGGTGGCCATCATACACACTCAATTCACCTATAATCCGGAGCACCCAGAGGAAACAGGCCCTCACGGAGAGAACATGCAAACTCCACAAAGAAATGCCAACTGACAACAGTGCTAACCACTGAGCCACCGTGTCACTATTAATTAGTCAATCCACTATATATAAAATTGTTTGTTTTGGTAAAATCTAACCATTTGCTTCTGCTCTGAAATGGCCGTCATTCTCTGATGACATTAGTCTGATGGATTGGGTGGAATATGCTTAGCCACGCCCCTCCAACCGTTAGTTTGCTGTGAGTAAAAGATGAGAGGAGGAGCTCAAAAATAAACCCCGCCCCTACTCAATATTCAGTTTCAGCCGAAAAACATACAAAAATAATCGTGATAATCTGCAGCATCGACCTGACTTTGAAGAGACTGGTTTTCCTATTTGTTTATGTGACCTTTAGCATATTAAAATGTATATTAACATTAGGTCTTAAACATTTCCACTCTACTTTATATCCAGAAACTGCAAATACAATATTTGTACTCAATTTTTAACATATTCAGGAAACACTAGATGCTGACCTTTAAGTTAAAACCCTAAAACTTGTATGCGTAGGCCTATAAATTAACTCAAATCCCAGCACTGAAAAAAAGTTAATCTCCATGTTATTCCTTAACAATCCCAACCCAGTCAGATTTGTACAGTTTGTTTTTAATAACCGTGTTTTTCTTCTCCTCCTGCAGCACAGCTGGATTTAAACTGCCGAACGCTGTATATCTGAGAGCTCCTCGTCAGGTGGAATCCTCTGACCTTTATGAAGTCTGACCTGAATGTCTGAATCTGCTATTGTCAGATCACATCCCGTCGCATCCGTCTGCTCCCCGAACGTCTCTGTTGGTCTGAGAGGCATTTGTAACACCTTGTGGGTTTGAGGTCAGTGGAGACTCATACCTGTGCATTACAGAGCCTGTCTCTCTGATGGATGGCCCGTATTAACTGTTCTCTGCTCAGATAAAGGGAAACGCTTCTAGTCTTGC